CCGCCTCCAGCCGCCTCCGCCCTGGCGGCCCTTCCGCCGTTAGTGCAGTCCTTCTGCTGAGATTTCGCTTTTCGTCTTAGCCGCTCCCTCGGATGTATATCGCTTCATCGCACGCGCGCGTCTTCAACCGTGTCTCTCTTGTACTGGATTAAAGCTTGCCGCTGCGCCTTCGGTGGTCCTTTCGTTTCTCCGTTAATATGTACGATCTTCCCATATTAATATATTCTTCGATACTGAAAATGATGTGCTGAACAATAACTGACATGCTTCTATGAATAGTGTTGTGATCATATAATAATTCGCTATATTTGCTTTGTGTTATTTCTTTAATCAGATTAATTTGTCGAACAATTCCCATGCAACACGGATCGTTTCAGCAATATTGTATTAACATTGTAACATTCCAACAATATTGCAGTAACATTGCAAATGTTGCAGCAATATCGCTGCAAGGATTAATATCAAATTTTTTTAACGTGACGAGCGTTTTAAGCCTCACATACGAATCTCTGTTTACTCGTATTCTACTTTAGTTTTGCGTTTGATGACGCTGTAATACAGAATTTTTTCAGCAAACTTATAGGGAGCCCGAATTGTGGCATTGCGTATCGAAACGAAACTTTGTCTAGAAGGCCATAACGGAGACTCGAGGGATCTTAAGTATTTACGTCATAATAGACACATCACTTTTGATCTACGGCGTAACTCGCGATACGGTCCAACGTGCCGGTCGTAAAAACCTCGAAGAAGAAGAAAGAGAAGAGCGGGAAGAAACAAGAAGAAAGGGGAGGTCCTCTCCTTTACGGCGAGAGGAAGAACGCGTGAGCTTCGATATATAGGCGCGCTCGTATATAAGATGTGGCTGGTGTATGAAAAATAACAGCCGTTGTGCCTCGTCCCCCTCTATATCGGGCGTTAATGCCTCCACGGTGGATTGATGTTCCGCCTTTATGGGTTATTTATTTAATACTGACAAATTTCACCCGATGCCCACACCCCCCTACCGCCGGTGGTCCCACCGACCATCACCGGCCGCTTCTTTTATGGCGCTTTTGATAGCGTTGAAGAACGAAAACGGTACTCGGTATTCGGTACCAATGATTCGACAGAGAATCTCGATACAAATATGAATTATAGGAATTGCGACTTGAAGCTTCTGCGAATTGATTTATGTTTTGTTCTGTTCAATATTTTTTCATAATCATGTACATTTCTAATGTCATTCCGAGAGAAAATAAATAAAAGAAGAAATATAATGTCTACTATGTGAATACGCTATTCTTGACTACATGAATCTTTAGTAATTTTTTTAGTAGGACACAAACAACCACCGTAATATCACGACATTAAAGGGATTACGCTTTTCTTTCTCCTTAAGTCAGACTTAATTCCGTAAAAAAAAATTTCAGAAACTCTGGCTTTATGTATAAGATAATGTAACTGTGAAACGAACTTTTCTATATAAAATATTGTAACTTTAATACAATTGTCAATTAACCGCATAATAATCAATCGCATACTTTCTTATTGCTATTATTATTATTATTATTTAAGGATCCTATTCACTCATCACTAATATTTCAGATTATGACATCAAAATTTAAAAAAAATACACAATAAAGATTCTTGCAACATATAAATTGATATGAAAATATATTTCAATAAAAAAAGTTAATAAATAGAATCAACTTGTAAAATATACCGAAAAACTTTTTTATTTCATTAATTAATAAATAACAATATATCTAAAAATGAATTATGCATAATCAAAAACAAAATAAGCTATATTTCATAACTATGACGCACATAAAATTAATAATATAAAATACAAAAATATATATGATTTAATTTCTTTCTGAAAAAAAAAAAAGATAGTTTTCGATATATTTTATAATCTATTTACATTGATTGCAAATTAAAGTTATTTTATTGAAAAATATTTCCACTGAAATGTAATTTGCAAGAATTTTTATGGTGTGCTTTTTCATTTCTGACATCACAGTTTGAGACAGTAATATAGGAGCCTTAATTACCCTGAATACATATAATTAGTGTAACGGAGATGCTAATATTCGTTCGAGCCATTCGAAACAGCAATACAATTGATGGTACCCGATAGAATTGATCGGTCTATATCGATAAGTTTTATTACATACGCGCGCGTGTGTGCTCCGAGAACGTGTGCGTCGATGCGTGTTTCATAGCAGCTGCCCCGGACTCGCGCGACGGCGTGTAAGGAAGAGTGATGATGATGGTGATGATGACGACCACGACGATGGTCGCATGCAAGCCGAAGAGGGGAAAGGCTACACCGCGCGTGTTTCAAATCAACTCAAATAATAATGACGAGTTATAAATGCCACTAGACGGCTAACCGGCCCAGACTGATCCCGGGTTAAGATACGTCTCCGCGCATCTCTTTTAACGCGAAGTCATGTATTCGCGACTTGATGTAACGCCACGTATATCGGCTGCGCTTTTCACGTCAAGGTCACGCAATGGGAATACATTGTCGTAATATATTATTATTGGAACGGAATAAGTCTGATAGTGTTAGATTAAAGATTATGCGATTATTTATTTTTCTTTACGCACGGCACATAGTACCTATCAGCCTCGATAACTCGTGCGTGCAACGCGTGCAATTCATCAGGGTTTAACGGTCATTACATATGTAAAAAATAATAAATTCAGGATAAATACGCTTTAAATAGCGCACGTTGATCGAGAAAAGAAAGTTTAAAATAGACGCGATACCGTATTATTAAAATGAATCGCCGATTGTAGTCAGTCTGGTAATTAGATGCAGCAACGTACCGAGTGAGTTATGGCCTGGTAATTGCAGGGCAGACGCACAACGTTACCGTAAAATGTTAACGATTGTCTATGTATCTTCGTGATGATCGTGATCAAAGAAACAGGTAAAATTCTCATAAATATCGGCACAGTACGTACTTACATACGTTACTACGCGGATCACGGGCGCATGCATTCCCGATGCGACGAGTGTGTGTGATTCCCGGATAACTAATTATATCGCAAACGTAAAATTGCACGTGCTTTTGCGTTACCTGCCGTCAAAGTTGTTCTTGCCGAACGGATAATATTCGCATTACCGTGTCACTTTCAGAGTTAATAATAACGGTCGACTTGCGGAGCAATTAAGACACATCGCCGAGCACATGATCGAAGGGGCCTTTAGTGACAGTTGGCGTCATTAAGGCGACGATGCCCGGCCATGCGAGGGCCCCGTATTCGTTTTTAAACAATTTCATAGCACGAGAAGCGATCCCTATCACCGCGTATCATCTCTGTGAGATCATCGGTGACCATCGTTGTAAACGCGCGTCATTTCCGCTCGAAGCCACGGCTGGATTATTGCGATCAAACATCTGTCCGTATGAACTAACGCGATCGTGCTTCGATCGATTTCGATCGAAACTTGTGTGAATACAAAGTACAATTGTACGAACACTTTTATGGATGTTTATTTCAAATAATATCTGTACATATAAGTATTAAATACTTAAAACATATTATTCTTAATGAAAGCTGCATTTAAAGCATATTTCTAATGAGAGAAAAATAAGACCATGATGATAATTAGTAAATTATAATCAAAATATTCTTGTAGTGATTCTTTTAATTGTTTTTTATTTTATAATTAATTTCCCATTTTTTAATTAATTCAACACTGCGTATATCTAATTTTATGTTTTATTATCTATTTAATGTTTTATGTTTTATTATTTATTTAATTAATTTCTTTGTTTTGATTACGTTTCAAAATGGAATACATTAAAAATGAAATTATTAAAATCGTTTTACTATAATCTTCGTAATGCATCTAATTTTATCATCTTTTAATAAATCCTGTCAAAATCCATAGTA